CTCTGCTCATGTTTCTGTTCATACTGTCTTATTCCCCTATGTGGGGGCCAATATTATACAGTTTCCATCAGAATAACAAAGTACTGATCCAGAGTCCTGAGGAAGCACAGGACATGTGGCAAGAGACGTTCTGTCCCACTGTTTATAAAGCCATCAGGATTCAGTAGTGTGGACTCCTCTTTCATGGCCCTTCCTAAACTAACTACTTCTTAGACGCTGGATGCCTGACACCTTAGCTGATTGATTTTACATGTTTGTGGCTCACAATTCACAGATAAAGCCCTGGGCTGCACTCAAGCCACATATAAACCAGAGCTGCCGGATTTTCTTCAGCTGCTTATGAACCTTCAGCAAGTCTTTCCAGGATCCCCCCCAGACCTAAAATGATGGGCTGGCCTCTGGGGGAATGTGTACATTTGTTTCTGCCAAACTGGGGGAGGGGCTGATATTGTCCCAGCCACCACACATGAAGCTCTAGGCCCAGGTCGTAGACAACCTTCTGAAGTGTATGGTAGGCAAGGCTGTAGCAAGAGCTCCTCTGTTTTCTTTTCCAGGGTTGGTCTCCATCAGACATCTCACTTATCCCCTGATGCTGGAGCCGCTGTGTCTCTCAGGGGTACTCAGGAAACTTCAGTAAGTGCTCTCCCGTTCTGGGTATGGCTGCGGCCTGTGGTGGGAATCCTCCTGGACTGGTGACTGGTAAATTTCCCCCTATTTTATTGTTATGTGTACTTATGCTTTTTAAATTATCATTTTATTTTGTTTTGTTTAATATAGAATCTCTCTGTATATGCCTGGCTGTCTTGAAATTCACTCTGTACAGCATGCTGGCCTTTAATTCACTCTGCAGCATGCTGGCCTTGAACCCACAGTTTTACATGCCTTTGCCTCCCAGTGCTGAGATACAAGGCATCTCCTGCCTCCTAATTTATTTTTATTTTGCTTTTTTGAGACAGGATCTCAGGTAATTCAGGCTGGCTTCATTGTTGCTATAAAGCAAAAGCCAGCTTGGATATCCTGATCCCCCTGCCTCCACCTTACAAGTGCTGGGATTACAGATGCATGCCACCCATCTTGTTGCTTTGGTTGGCTTGGTACTAGCTGTGGATTCCAGACAGCATCAAAGTCAAAGCAATCCTCCTGCCTCAAGTTGCAAATGTGTTTGCACCCACACTTGGCTCTTAGATATCCTCTCTCTCTCTTTCCCTTCTCTCCCTCTCTTTCACTCTACCTCTCTCTCTCTCTCTCTCTCTCTCTCTCTCTGTCTCTGTCTCTGTCTCTGTCTCTGTCTCTGTCTCTGTCTGTATCTGTGTGTGTGTGTGTTACTGAGAATCAAACCCAATGCTAGCAAGTACCATACCTATGACCTGCAGTTCCAGTCCCCATGGTGTGTGGGTGTTTCTATCTATCTTTGTGTTGAGACAGGGGTCTCCCTCTGTGGCCTTGGCTAGTTTAGAACTATGTAGACCAGGCTGCCCTGAAACTCACTGCTTCCAGAGTGCTGGGGTTAAAGGTGTGTGCTACCACACTCAGCCCTCCTTTCTAGGAGACACTCTCACACTCGGCCCTTTGTCAGGGTCCTCTACAGTGCACCCCAGCTGTGTTCAAGAGCACCATGCCTTCTACAAGGCTTAGCACTGGCAGCTGAGGGGGTGGAAGGGCAGAGCCTTATGGACAGACTGTCTGTGGTGAGGACTTCTGACCTCTCCAGCAGAGGAGATGCCCATGCTATAACCTGAATGATCGCACACAGAAACTGGCTGAAGCAGATTGAGCAGGAGGCGGAAGTGGCTCTAGGCAGAGGGAGAGGCTGGGTACAGGCCTAGAGGCGAGACCACATCCAGGGACAAGGAAGGCAGTGTGCCTGAGGGCAGTGACTAACAGGGAAGTCCAGCAGATGAGGCACACGGCCACTGTACCAGGGCATGTGAGGCCCAGGGGCTCAGCTAATCCAAGCTTGGAGAAGGGAGAAGCAGAGGGCGTGGGCCAGGACTGGGAGGACCTGATTTTCAGCTCTGAGAATCTCATGACTCACTCACCGGTCATAGGTGTGGGCAGTGCAGAGAGACTTTCTTCCAAGAGCATGGTATGAGAAAGCAAAGGAGTAACTTCACAAAGGGAAGGCTAAGAAATGATGTGTGTGTGTGTGTGTGTGTGTTTTAAGATTTATTTATTTTATGTATATGAGTACACTGTCACTGTCTTAGACACACCAAAAGAGGGCATTGGATTCCATTACAGATGGTTGTGAGCCACCATGTGGTTGCTGGGAATTGAACTCAGGACCTCTGGAAGAGAAGATGGTGCTCTTAACCGCTCAGCCAATCTCTCCAGGCCTTGTTTTGTTTTTTTGAGACTGAGTTTTGTTTACCCCCAGTGGCCTCAGACTCATTTTGTAGTTGAGGAGACTTTGACTGTATGACCCTCCTGCTGTGACTCTAGAGTGCTGGCATCTGTATGGACCTTTGATAAGGTAAGACAGCTCTTCCTTCTAAAGCCTGCCATCCCAGAGAGAACCAGGGAACAGAATGCAGGAAAGGACCCTCCCAAAGTCCTGATGGATGTACCTCAAAACTCAGGACCATTTGATGCTGGGTGTGGTGACACAAGACCACAAGGGGCCGGGCGGTGGTGGTACACGCCTTTAATCCCAGCACTTGGGAGGCAGAGGCAGGTGGATTTCTAAGTTCGAGGCCAGCCTGGTCTACGGAGTGACTTCCAGGACAGCCAGGGCTATACAGAGAAACCCTGTCTCGAAAAACAAAACAAAACAAAACAAGACCACAAGGAAGGAAAATTGCCAGGAGTTCAAGGCCAGCCAGGACTAGAATATGACCCTGTCTCAGTTCAAACAAATAAGCAAGCAAGTATTCAGGATGCAGCTCAATTGATATAATGCTTGCCTAGGATGCACAAAGTCCTGAGTTAGAGGCCAGAACTACATAAAACCAGGCATGGTTGTGCATGCCTGTGATTTTAGCACTTACTATGTGGAGACAGCAGGGTCAAGAGTTCAAGGTTATCTTTAGTTACACAGTAAGTTCAAGGCCAACCTGACAAAAAAAAAAAAAAGTCCCAGAAATAGCAAAAAGGAGTGTGAAGAGATACATGAACTAAATGTAGTATGTTTTCCTGGTGCTAGGACAACAGACAAAAATGGGGAAACTGAGGAAACCCATAATCCAAACAGACTCTACCCTTGATCTGATGACTCATTAATCCTAACAAAAGTGCCTTGTAAGATGTGAAGATGTAAAGTGCTTGTAAGACCTGAAGAGTGGGGTTGGATGGTGGCCCAGTGTGGAAAGTGCCTGCTGTACACCCATGAGGACCTAAGTTCTGATCCCAGCACCCATAAAAAGACTAGAGCAACATAGATCTGTAACCTTGGTGCTCAGGGTCTCACTGGCCAGCCAAGCCCAAACAGCAAGCTCCAGGTTCAGCTGGAGGGCCTGTTTCAAAACATTAAGTGACAGAGGGAGATGTCTAAGGTCAACTCTGGTCTTCACATGCACATAGATATGGGTACCTGCCCAAGCAAGTTCAAGCACACACACACACACACACATACACACACACACACACGTTGTGAAGAATAGGAAAGTGGAAAGCACAGCTGAGGGGTGGGATGCTGTGTCCATCCAGAGCTGTAATGGGGAAAGAGAGAGAGGAAGAGGAAAGCAGGGCATAGGGTGGATAGGAACTCCCTGAACAAGCTTTAGCATCTCTTTCATAAATCTGACTGTCCTGAGAAATCAGGTCTAGAGGGTGAGAAGATGGGGCGGTTGGTGAAGTTGACTGTGCAGATGTGAGAAACATCCCCAGTGCTCTTATGAAAGCCAGGCATGGCTCTTTTACTCCCAGGTCTAGGGAGGTGGGAACAGGAGGATCGTTGGGGCTTGCTGCCCCAGTCTACAGGAGTTGGTAACCCCCATGCTCAGTGAGAGATGCTGCCTCAGAGGATAAGGTGGAGTGCAAGTGAGAAGCTCATTGGTCAGAAGTGCTTGCTAGCACCTGAATTCAGTCCGCGCATTCCACTGTGGACAGAGAGATCTGATTCCACACACTTGTCCTCTGACCTGCATAGGTGTTTGTGCAAACACACATACACACACACATACATACACACACAAACACACACACACACATGAGTGAGGACACACACGCTAAATGTAAATGATAACAAAGTGGAGGGCAATCAAGAGAGACACCTTAAGTTAGTCTCTGGCTTGTATTATGCACACACACCCACACATACATGTGCACACATACAAACAAGTACATATATAACACACATATATACAACAAATAAATAATTAACTCTCAGGTGAAAAGACAATTTGAACGTCTGCTTGTGCAGAACAGGGCCCAAGGGTGAGATGTCCGATCCTCGGGTGAGAGTAATTCAGATCTAGGTGTCGGCCGTGAGGAAACAGGATCCTCGCAGGAAGCAGGAATGATTGGTGCAGTCAGCTCCTGCCTGGAGATGAATTCTGGGGCCTGAAGAAAGGGAGGAGTCCGATCAGGCGCCTAGATTATTTTCGGCTTGAGCAACTGCCACACGACTCCATTACCTCAGATGCCCTGGTGCAGGAGGAGAGCAGGGTTAAGGACAAAAACCTCAGGAGGCTTTCTTTGCTCTGCAGTGAGTGTGAGGAGGTGTGGAAACTCCCTGAAGGAGCTAACCAGGAGGGAAGAGCAGGGCTGATTCTCACAGAGGTCAGTGTGTGAACACCTGCTATGAGCAAGAGGACCTCGGAGAGGCCCAGCCTCTGTCTTATCTAGTGTGCTAAGAGAGCAAGCAGCATGCTATGGAAGCAGGAAAGGCTAAATAACGTGGAGACAGCTGGGAAAGAAAGTAAAGAAGCAGCCTGGGGGAGGAGGGGTGCCCAAGCATGCTTTCTGGGTGTGCCCCGTCAGCCACCTTCCTGTTCTGCAAAGACACAGGAAGCCAGGCTCCTGCTTAGAGAAAACTTTCCTTTTTTCTTTTTTCTGTAGGCCTTGTCTACAAAAACCCAGATAACTGAGAGTCACAGGTCAGGGAACCCAAGCAGGCCTTGTCAGCAAAGCCTCGAGCTGCTTGCCTAACAATTTCTCATCATTTTGAGGTATGTCCACTGCCTGACTGTTGCCAGAGTATGTAAGGGTCTCAGCCGTGTATCGTGGGGGACTGTGCTGCCCAGGGCGCTGGCTCCCTCCACACTGTCTGCACATAAGTCTTGGAAATGTTTCAAAGCCATTTCTACTCACAAGGCTCCCCTGGTTATGCAGAGCAGCAGGACTTCCTGAGTGCTCACTGCAGACCCTCTCCCCAGGCCACACTTCCTCATAGACAAAGGAGGGTGAGCCCAGGTCCTGCCCAGCAAGCAGAGGAGGCCGCTCTCAGTCCCTGTATAATGCATTTGCCTCACTGAACCAGAGTGTGTGATTGTGTCATAGCCTGACCAAACCCTCCAACACCCTCTGTCTTCCTACATTAAAAGCCACCTCCGGGAAGCCCACTGGTCCCTGCCTAACCACCTTCCTGTTCTTTCTACCTCACATCTGCCACGTTCTGTCTACTGTCCATTGCCTGCCCCACAGATGTACCAGCTTCTTCCTGCCTTATGACCTTTGACCTCGCTGTTCCTAGGCAAGATAGATATCTCCCCACACATTTCTTTCTTTCTTTTCCTTCATTCTGTCCTTTCTTTTTTGAGACAGTCTCACCATTGTGACTGGTTCAGAAGTAGGTCATTATGTCACCTTAATGCTGGCCTCAGACCTCCAGTATTCCTCCTTCCCCTGCTTTCTCAGTACTGGGATGACAGACATATGCCACTATGATCATTTCATCTTTTTCCTTATGTTTTTAAAGTTTTCTCTCTTAATGAGATGAAAATCTCATACTATTTTAAAGCTGGAAAATCCTCAGTGTGAGGTGATCACTTGCCTGCAGCCACAGGCCTCTAGTTTGAAAACACCATCCCAGAACCACCCTGAATTCCAGAGCTTGGAAGGCCAGCCTGGTCTACATAATGAGACCCTATCTCAAAACAGAACAAGACTGGCCCAATCCGGTGGTGGCACATATCTTTAATTCCAGCACTCAGAAGGCAGAGGTATCTCTGTGAATTTGAGACAAACCTGTTTTACAGAGTGAGTTCAAGGACAGCCAGGGCTGCACAGAAAAACTGTGTCTCAAAAAACCAAAACAAAACTTGCCTAGTATGTTCAAGGTCCTGGGTTCTGTCCTCTGCTCTGGGCAGGTGTGGAGTGGGGACAGGATAGAAAAGGCAGTCCTAGGATACATGACTTTCTGTGCCTAGTGCATTAGTGTCTTCCTCTCTCCTTTGAGTAGTTTAGAAGCCGTCCATGCTCTGTCATGAACTGTTTTCCACTGAATACACAGAACCATCTGTGAGATCCTACCTTGTAGCTTTACGACAGATAGTAGGACTGCTCGTGTGTATCTCTGCAGATGTTTCCATTTCTTTTGGATAAATGTCTGGTTGAACTTGTTAGGTCACATGGCCACTGAGCTGCACCCCTAGTTGTTACATTCCACTTTTCCAGGAGTTTCTAAACTGTCACTCAGGTCTGAAGTCATATGTCACCTCCTAAGCCAGCCCAGCTCAGTAGTGCCTCTCTCCTGATTACCTGCGGTCTGGGCTCCTCACGTCCCACTTTGGACCTCGTTACCTCAGATAGAGGTTCTCCTGACCTGCCACATGTTTGGTGTATAGCAGGTACTGAGGAAATGCTTGCTGAATGATCTGTCTCTCAAGTAAGGTGCTGCAATGACATGAGGACTGCCATCATCATCCTCTGAGGTGGCTGTTAGCACTGCCCAGGTGACTCAGCAATTTAAATGCCCAGCTTCCTCCCGTCTTACCAACCAAAGTCACTGGGAGCTCAGGGGTGGACGGTGTTCCTCCTCTGTGCTTCCTGGTTAGTGACTCAGCACAGTTATCTCTAGTTCCTCAGTGTAGGTCAGCTGACCCATCGTGAGGTGTGTGTGTGTGTGTGTGTGTGTGTGTGTGTGTGTGTGTGTGTGTGCATTGTTTGATATATTATCATCATTAATGATCTGTGCTGAGGGAGGGAACAGTTGTAAGCTGATCTTCCACCTCTGTACTCACTGAGCCGTCTTGCTGCCCCCAGTCTGGAGTTCTTAACCAGCAGTCACACGGAGCACAGGCCTCCATAGGGAGCCAGTTTCTACCTACAGCCTTCTCTGCTTTTGCCCCCCTTTTAAGGCATGAAGGGCATTTGCTACCAAGCTAAGCTATGAGTTCAATCCCTTGGACCCACATGGTGGAAGGAGGCTGAGAACCAGTCCCTGACATTGACCTCTGACTTCCACGTGCTCACTGTGGTGTGCGCTCTTCCATCCATAGCCCACAAAATACAAAACGAGTGAAATGTAATTAAGAATTCCAGCTTGAATGATCCCAGCACCATGGAAGGAGAGGCTGGATGGTTCCACAAGTTTAAGATCAGCCAGGTTTATGTAGCAAGTTCCAAGCCAGCCAGATCTTTCTTAAAAAAACAAAAACCATTTCTAGTTTGAGGAGTCCAGTTACTCAGGCTGCCTGGGCTCAGTTCCTAGGTTTTTGTTTTGTTTTTAAATTCTTATTTTTGTTTGTTTTATTACTTTTTGTTTGTTTGTTTTTTCGAGACAGGGTTTCTCTGTATAGTCCTGGCTGTCCTGGAACTCACTCTGTAGACCAGGCTGGCCTCGAACTCAGAAATCCGCCTGCCTCTGCCTCCCAAGCGCTGGGATTAAAGGCGTGCACCACCACCGCCCAACATTATTACTTGTTTTTTGAGACAGGGTCTTATGTAGTCCAGGCTAGCCTAAAACTTCCTGTATACCTGAGAATGACCTTGAACCTCATATCCCTGCTCTTCCACTTCCCAAGTGCTGGGATATCAGGTACACACACACACCACCTGGACTGGGTGCTGGATGTTTTCTGCTGTGCTGGGATTAAACCCAGGACTTCACGTATGTAAGTCTCCTGATGGTCTGCTCCCCAGCCCCTCAGTTCCTAGGTCTGTCACTTAGCTGTGTGATTTTTTTTTTTACAGGTATTTAAATCTCACTGTTCCTTTTTTGGGAAAGGAAGATTAATAGTAACGGCCTCTTGGATGTGTGAGGGTAAAGGAATTGGTACAGTACACTCGCTCACACCTAGACAGTGGTCAGTAGAAATTCTTTAGATCCACGTCTTTTCATCATCCTCTGTCTCCCCGTCTGTGTGGTAATGACCTCCGAAGCCCGGACCTTCAGACCAGAGGAGAAAGAAAATGAGTTTTCTAAGACTCAAAGAGGCAGAATAGAGATGTCTCAGAAGTTAAGAGCACTGGCTGCTCTTCTGGAGAACTCAGTTCCCAGCACCCACATGGTGGATAACAAATGTTTACAACTCCAGCTCCAGGGAGTCCAATGCTCTCTTCAGATCTCTTTCATGTTTCTTAAAATTAAAAAAAAAAAAAAAAAAAAGCCGGGTGGTGGTGGCGCATGCCTTTAATCCCAGCACTCGGGAGGCAGAGGCAGGCGGATTTCTGAGTTCGAGACCAGCCTGGTCTACAGAGTGAGTTCCAGGACAGCCAGGGCTACAGAGAAACCCTGTCTCGAAAACAAAACAAAACAAAAAACGAAAAAAAAAGCAAAAACAAACAAACAACAACAAAAAACAAAACTTGGTGTGGTGGTACATACCTGTCATTCCAACACTTGATGAGCTCAGGCAGGAGGATCACTATGAGTTACCTGGGCTAAGGGTGAAACCTTAAAATACACAGAAATAAGGTAGATACTCACGAACCTCTCTCTTAGGCCTTCAGGTGAGGAAAGAGTGCGCATGTGTACGTACATGTGCAAGCGTGTGAACATGCATGCTAAGGTCAGATGTGTGTGCACACGTGCAAGCGTGTGAGCACGCATGCTAAGGTCAGATGTGTGTGCACACGTGCAAGCGTGTGAGCACACGTGCAAGCGTGTGAGCATGCATGCTAAGGTCAGAGGACAGACAATCATTCCTCAGGCACTGCTCATCTTTCTCATTCTTATTACAGGTACGCGTTTACTTAGTGTGTGTGGGCGGACACAGTGTGACAGCACACTCTGTAGAGGTTCGGAGTGGGCAGTAACTTCACTCAGAGCATCTGGGTGACAACTGTGGAGTTGGGTCTCCCTCCCACCTTTGTGTGGATTCCAGGTACACACTCAGGTCAGCAGGCTTCCTGTCCATGGAGCCAGTTAGGGATTCTTTTTTTTTTTTTAATTATTTTCATTTGTGTGCATGTGTGTGTGTGTATGTATGTGTGTGTATGTGCACGAGTGTACAGGTCAAAGGACATCTTTGTAACATCAACTGTCCCCTCACACCTCTATGTGGGGTGGGTTTTGGGGGTATTGAACTTGGGTCTCTATGCTTAGGGGCAAGCTGCCTGTACCCATCGGGTCACTTCCCTGGTTTTATGGCCAGCTTTTTCCCCCCCAAGCATGACAGCCCTGGCTGTCCTGGAACTCTCTCTGTAGACCACACTGGCCTCAAACTCAGAGATCCTCCTGCATCTGTTTCCTGAGTGCTGGGATTAAAGGCGTGCGCCACCACCACCTGGCTATGGCCAGCTTTTTATGTGGGTCCTAGGGATCTAATTCAGATCTCCATGCTTACAAGGCCAGTGTTTTGCCAATTGAGCCAACTCCCCAACTTGGTAATTTTTATATTTAAAATGACAGTGCTTTCCTACCTGAGGCCAGAAACAAGTGACCTCTGCGTCAGTGGCTATGTCAATGCTAGGGAAAGTCCCATTACTGGGTGGAATATTTTGTTATTACTATTTGTTTTTTGAGACAGTCTCACTATGTAGCCCAGACTAACCTAGATCTGCCTTTTATATAGCCCAGGCTAGCCTCCCATTCACAAGAATTCTCCAAGTGCTGGGATTATAGGTGTGAGCCACCCTGGCACCCATCTCTGGAATGTTCTAGAAATCCAGGTCCACTTTTCAGACTCCAGAGCAGTGTTTCTCAACCTATGGGTCAAGATTTGCTTTGGGGATTGACTGATACTTTCATAAGAGGTCACAGATATCCTGCATATCAGATCTCTAT